TTGTGACTTGTTACAAAATTACTAAAATAAAAAAAAAAAAGCTAATCATTACTTCCTCTTAGAAACCAGTTTTAAGCTTAAAATGGCACATCACCAAATAATTAATTTATCTGAAAAATTAATTAGCTGAAAAAGCCTAACCACACTTTAGAAACAATGCACATTTCTGGCCGGGCTCGATGGCTCAGCCTGTAATTCCAGCACTTTGAGAGACCAAGGTGAGTGGATTGCCTGAGCCCATGGGTTTGAGAACAGCCCAGGGAACTGGTGAGACCTCATCTCTACAATAAATAAAAAATTAGCCAGGTGCGGTAGTACATGCTTGTAGTTCGGCTACTTGGAAGGCTGAGGCAGAACGATCGCCGAAGCCCAGCAGTTCAACGCTGAGGTGGCCATGAGTGTGCCACTGCACTCCAGCCTGGGCAATGGAGTGAGAATCCAACTCAAAAAAAAAAAAGAAACAATGTACATTTTAAACATATTTGGCAGTCAAAACTTATCTTTATTTCCAAGTCTAGGGAATATATTTAATGCTATCTCCCCTGCCCTTTTCTTTTAGAATTTAATATATACTAGAAAAACAAGGCTGAAATAACTAAGTGATACATTACATTAAAAATATTTTTTCTAGATTTCCTCAAATCTCTAGCTTATAAGAGAAACAGCTTGACATTCAATAGAAAATCACCTGCACTTGTAGTAACTGTCTCATAAATAAAAATGCTACTCTCTTTTCCTTTTTGTGGCCATCAACTCTGTTTTCACAGAGAGGTAAATATTTTTATATCTAAAATGAAAACCCATAAAAAACACTGAAAGCTGCAGAGTCTTAAATGAGTTTTCTTGGTTTCATATGCTTTTCTTATTTCTCTTTCACAGAGATCTGGGAAATTAAAATTAGCATTTGAAAGTATGCAAAAATTAATTCGTTGTTTTGCTGTTATGGTCTACAGGTGCAGTTTTAAATGAAATATATTTACCATAAATTATATCTCAATATTGACAAATTTACAATTATACTAATAAGAAGGTGAAATATCTTTGGCTTCACAAATTAATAAAAACTTGTTTTGAAGGAAAAAAATTCTTACACTTAAAATCCATTTCCATAGATAAATTCAAACAAGACACTTCTTCTAATGTCTACTAATAGTAAACTATTCAAGAAAAGCTGTTAATATTATTTCCTGGTAGTATTAGAATGGAAAAAATAGAGGAGTCAGGCAGTTAATATTTACTTTCTCTTTACTCTGCCTAAGAGTTTTTTGTGTGCTGGAAACATAAAAATGCAAGATATGCTCCAAGCAGGAGAACTTATTTGCTAGTTGAATGTATAAACCATCTAGCTAGACCACAGTGTGATGAAACACAAGAGCACAAACGCATATAAAGGATGAGGAGACAGCAGAAAGCATGAACGGTTCTGCTCCCTTGTCTGAAGGTTCCATGGATATGGGAGCCATGTTTGTTCCAACAATGCCGTATGATCACAGGCTCCCAGGAAACTGTCAGGTAGATGTTAGGTGTTTGATAATGTCTGCTGACTAATAAAACAATAAAGGATGGCAGGCTTCATAGAGAAGATGAAAATAAAGATGAACATTAAAACATGAATAGGAGTTAAATAGACAGAGAGACAGTCAGAAAGTAGAAGAACGGACAATCCCCACCTTTGACCAACCTACCTTCATGTAATTAACACTGCACATTTTACCCCAAAATATATTTTCTGCAAGCAACATTTACCCAGCTAAAAATTTCCTAAATGAATATTCTGATTTTCAACAAATAGAAAACAAAGTACCAAAAAATCCAGGATCCCCAGCACACCTCTCCTAAGATGAGTCGTGTAAGTTCAACCACAACCTTCACAAACAAAACCAAGCTTAATAGCTACAAAAAGAACTTAGAACCCCAAATAAAAATGGAATAAAGTATATTTTAATCAAACACAATTTTAAGTCAGACTTAATCAAACTCTATTTTAAAATTAATATAACAAAAATTAACTCAATAAAGAAAACTCGACAATAGTCGCATACTCAAGAAAGAATATGTGCCAAGGCCAAAAAAAAAAAAAGAAATTTATGCCTAAAAAACAGTAATGAAGGCAGTTATTAGACTAAGTCTGATACAATATGTTATACCCAGCTCCGAATGTGTGACATTTTGAGTCACACTTTAGGTCAAAGATAAGCACAAGCTGTAGGTTTGGTCAAGGGTTGACCAATATTTTCTAAAAGGGCCAGATAATATTTATGTTAGGCTTGTAGGCCAAACAGTCTCTGTCACAACTATTTAACTCTACTACTGAAGCATGAAAGTAGTCACAGACAACACATAAATAAGTGTGGTTGGGTTCCAGGAAATCTTTATTTACAAAAAACAGGTGGCTGGCCCATGGCCATATGTGCTAACCTTGTCCTAGAATCTCACAGTGACTTCTCAGTAATGCTTTTCATCAAGACAGCTTTACTCCCTTTCAAATGCTTTCATGTAAACTGTAATTGTGTTTCATTAAGGCCTCAACAGACACCTATAAGGCAACCTGACAGATATTCTCGTTTTATAGATTAGGAAACTGAAGCTCAAAGGGATTAAGTGACTTGATCTAAGGACTACTGGTAGCACTGAGACTAAAAGCCAGGCCTTTGTTCTTTCCATAAGTCTTAACCATCGTCCTCCATACCCAGTCCTCCAATGCCCCAGCTAAAACATTTCAAGCCTTTTTATAATCCTTTGCTGAATCCCCAAGTCCTTTTTAGCAGACTCACCCATTCACAATAGATTTCAAGAACATCTAATTAACCGTCCACTTAAATTATTAACTTCAGTTCTGAAATCAAATTATTCTCAAATTCTTTCTCTCTTTATGCGATCCCCATCTTCTTCCATTGATGCTCTTTTTATTCACAAGTCTCCTAAAATATCACCGAATCTCCATTTTACCAGTAAGAAAAAAGGCAGTACATCTTAAGGAATTGTAAGTTATTTTAATCATTCAATATGAATTTGTGAACTCAGTAATATAAATAAGGTAAAAGGCCTGGGGCTTGCCTTTGCAAAGCTTATAATCTACTTGAGAAATCCCAGATGTATAAATATAAAACTACGGAGTAAATTCCATGTAACCTAGGTCAAACCTAAGAAATAAGAAATGAGAAAATGTAATTTACAGTATACATTGTCATAAAATATGTGCCTTACTTATAACTGAGGCCACAATAATGCCCTGAATTTCAAATAATGAAAATTCAATAAATACTTAATAACTATAACCACCCCTTTGACATGGTAATAGCATACTCCAAAAGTTAAAACTTGATTACATTTTTTAAAAACTACAGGAGCTAGAGTTTTCTTCTATTTTACTCTAGTCATCACCATGAAAGAATTTATATCGGACTAACTCCCTGGCCAAAATCATCTATTAAAGAAAAAGCATAGCACATAGTACAAACCCTCATTTTGCACAATAGCGTGGGACTAGAAAAGTGACCATTCAAGCTGATATTGTCTAAAGTGATCTTAATAATTAATAGAGAAAATGTATGATTGTTCCATGATCTTGAAAAATTGTCAAAACATTAAAAACTCACTGTTGGCTATAAATGTTAACTGGAAAATAAAAAGTGAATAAAACTAGCATTTATTTAGTACACTGTAATTTAAAACATTAGCAACATTGAGAATATATGTGTTTTATTTCTTTGTTAAAAACTTAATAAGTATAGTTTGAAGAATGCTTGCTTTTTCAACATAAAATTTATGGAAAAGCATTTTTCCTATGTCTTGGTGAACTGAAGAATTTTTACATTTTCACCAACTTCCAACATTATTTGTGCTTTCAATGTCATAAATTATCTGAGAGTTCCTTCAATATGAAATTATTTTTATGGCATCACTTCCTCTGAGACATCTTCATCCTTTTTTGTCATAACTACTTTCCTATTTATGTTAATAAGTTCACCTTCATTAATTCCTCTGGCGGCACATCTAGTCTCCTGAAGGGCAGCCACGTTAACATTCGCAAAGTCAGCTATTTGTTCTATAACTCCACTACCTTATTTTCAAATTTCACCTCCAACTTTATCACTGTTCCTTTCTAGTATTTTCATCTTTCTAATATCCATTTTTATAAAATGTTACATGGTTTTATTGCTGGGGACAAGAAGACAGCTACAGGATTTGCTATCTATGGGTGAAATAAATAATAGATATATGGAGACCAATCAATGACAGACACTGAAAGAAACGACATAATTTAACAGTGATCTTAAGCACATCTGTTGTTATATGATTCCTGGACTAAAGAACTTGCAACAAAGTTTGTAATTATTTGCAGCTAAAATGCCACAGTAATTGAAATTTGAAACAAATAGTTGAGGAACTGGTGTTGCTTAACCATGGTAAATGAAATTCATGCATCCTGGAACTATGTAAAGCCAGAATTGTTTGAAGGCACTGGAGGGCAATCAATGCAAACAAGATTAAGAAGTATGATCTCCAAAACATGGGGAATACAGAGATAAGCCCCACATTCCCCTCAGCTTTTTCCTTGGGGTGTTTTCTAAACCACAGCAAGGAGAGAGTCGAGGCAGAAAGCAAGTCTACTGTCCTAAGGGAGCAGAGGCCGGAGTCCAATGCCTGCCCAAGCAGAGGTATACTGCACACACCCATGGTTCAGATGGAATCCCAGAAGGGTCATGTCTGAGGAGTAAGGATCACACCTTTGGAGTAACAGCACTTTCTTCAGAAGCTAAACACAAAGTTTATGTAACATATATCATATGTTAGGGGCTAAGCAACAGAGGGCAGAGGGACATTGGAAAGGAATAATGTAAGAGATGACTAGAAGTATCTTCTGTGCCAATTTGGGCATAGAGGCTGGAATTTAAACTCATACCACCCATTCCAATATGTATCAATTGCAGGGTTATGGCTGTGTTACATTCTATAAAGCAGTACTGTATTCTAAAATTAAACACTGCTATAGTTACCATTTTGCAATCCCATCCAGAGCTGCTTGTGATCTTTTTTCTGCATTTCATTGATTACTTGACTTTTATGCTTTAAAGCATCAGCTTCTTTCATACAAGACATAAAATGAGCTTCAATTGCATCTTTAGATGGACAGTGCAGAAGGTCCTTTTCTGGAAAACTCTACCAAAAGAAAAAAAATACACATATAAAACAAGTACACACATTATAAACTTAGCTTCTTAAAGGAGAACTGTATCCTGTAATTTTCTAATCATTCAATCTTATCATTGCAATACTGCCAACTACTTTAAAAATTAACTTAATCTTCAGCTATTTGGTACACTTTGTACTTTCCCCAAATATCCTTATATATTATGTGCTTATAAAATGAAAAGGGTATTAAGTTATAATAATTTTAAAAACAGTTTTTCAACTGACATTATCATATACTGGCAAACATGTGGAACAGAACTGCTGGGAGAAATATAAAATGGTACACCACTTTGGAAAACAGTTTGCTACATTTCTTAAATAGAGTAAACACACACCTACCAGTCATTCCACAACTAAGAAAGAAAAATTAAAGCTTATGTCATATGAAGACTTGTACACAAATGTTCACAACAGCTTTATTTGTAACAGCCCTAAACAGAAAACAATGTAAATATCAACAGGTCAATGAACATATAAGTTGTGGTATAAAAGTATTGAAGTGTACGCTTTGAATATGTAAAGCTTATTATAAGTCAATTAGACTTAATTAAAACTGCTAAAAACGTATCTTTTAAACTCAATAGTTAAATGGACATCCTATAACTTCACTGGATCCTTTAGGCAGCTAAGGCAAGGATAACTGGACAGGTAAGCAGTTATAGTAAGAGATGACTTACTGTACTTTTCACTGAAAAAAGAAAGATTACAATAATAGCTAAACACTTATTGAACACTTAGTATGTGATAAACACTGTACTAAGATTTCCTATATGATTACCTAATTTAATCCTCACAACAACCCTTCAGGTAAACATTATTATTAGTGCTGTCTTACAAGTTAAAAAGAAAAAATTAGAGCTTATGGATTGGCTAAAGCCCTGAGTGTCATACAGTTTGCAAGTTGGAGCTAGTAGTTAAGGCTAATCTCACTCAAGATTCCTGGCTCTTAACCACTGTGCAATGTCATGACCCCCCACAAGATCTACATGTTTAAGATTATTATTATATTCAATCATTACAAAGTTGTTATTCTATACATCCTATAATAAAAAGAGCTAAAACATTTATAGCAAAAAATAGCATTTAGTTACAGCCTACTCAGGTTCTTTGCTCATAAACAACATTCAATTATCCATGTCATGGAATTTTGACACACAGAATAAAAAGAAAGGCCAGGCTCGATGGCTCAGCCTGTAATCCTAGCACTTTGGGAGGCCGAGGCGAGTGGACTGCCTGAGCCTGCAGGTTCAAGATCGGCCTAGGCCACTTGGCAAGACCTTGTCTCTATACAGCAGATAATTTACACTTCCCTGATCACTAAAGATGTTGAGTGCCCTTTCATGTGCTTATTGGTAAATTCATATATATTCTCAGAACTGTGTCTGTCTGTTCAAGATGTTTGCATTTGTTCCAAGGCAACTGACATAACTAGGTAGCGCGTGCTTGTAGTTCTGACTACTTGGAAGACTAAGGCGGAAGGAACGCGGGAGCCCAGCAGGTCAACGCTGGAGTGGTCGTGAGTGTGCATGGCACAGAGTGAGACTCAAACTCAAAAAAAAAGAAAAAGAAAAAGAAAAAAAAACTCCTGAATGACTATGAAACACTAATGGGAAACAGTCATTAGAGATACTGTTCCTCACCTCTCTCAATACACTTTTTGTAATAGGTAAAATGTATTGAGATACTATTCACATCCAGTGTACCTACAATGCAAATATAATACAATGAAATGCAGATATTCTAAAAGTACAGTTAAATGAGTGTTGTCACTAATAACTGTCGAGGTAGAGAACATGACCGTCACCCTGCAGAAGTTCCTTTGTACCCTTTGCAGTCAGTTCCCTCATTTCCATCCCAAGCCATCACTGATATGATGATAACACCAGAGATTATTAATAGCTTTACCTGTAATAAAATATTATATAAATAAAATCATATAATATGTAGTATTGTATAATCTAGCATCTTCCATTTACCACAATGCTTTTGAGATGCATTCATGTTATTGCACATGCAATCAGTTCCCTTTTGCTGCTGAGTAGTATGCCATTGAATGAACATACCACAACCTGCTTGCCCAAAAACTTGTTAATAGACCTTGGGGCTGTTTCCAGATATTGCTATTGTTAATAACACTGCAATGAACATTGACATATAAGTCTTTCCGTAGACATATGTTTTCAACTTTCTTGGCTATGCAGCTGGGTGCAGAAATGCTGGTTCATAAAATCAGTAAGTGTACGTGTAATTTTATTTTAAAACTGCTAAAATGTTTCTCAAAGTGATGGTACAATTTTAAACTCCCACCAGCAATGCATGACAGTTCTGGTTACTTCTGTCCTCACTTAGTACAGTCAGTCTTTTTCATTTCAGTCATTCTAGTGAGTAGAAAGTAATATTTCATTGTGGTTTTGATTTACACTTCCCTGATGACTAAAGATGTTGAGTGCCCTTTCATGTGCTTATTGGTAAATTCATATATATTCTCAGAACTGTGTCTGTCTGTTCAAGATGTTTGCATTTGTTCCAAGGCAACTGACATATTAGGGAACAAGTTGAGCATATAGTGAATTTCATGTTTACGTGCATAAATACAGTCCGCAAGAAATACTAGGTGAACACAGAAAACTGCACCCAGCTAAACCAATCTGCATAGGAAAACATAAAACACATACATGCACACACCCAGAAATGAACCAGCTACTTCAACCTGTGTTATGAGTACACTCATCCACAAAAGCTGTTACAATTTTCTGGCTGATTTCAGATAATCCTCCTTCCATCACTTCACAACTGACAAAAGCTGCAACTTTTCCAACGTTCATTTTCACAAGCAAAAACTTCCAGTCAAGAAATGCCATATTTATTGTAGTATTTACACATTTAATTACTTTACCTGAGTGCAAACCTGTGCTATGGATTTTATTAGGTTCCTGTTTTTTATTTGTCACAGCAAGTTTTTGGATGTTGTACTCCAACAACCCCTGTCCCCATGTAAACCTTTTCCCCATAAATTGTGCGGTTTTTATTGCACAATTTTTAATAGCACAGTGATTTTAAGAACACATCTGTTGTATTACAAAAGAACTGCCATTAGAAGCAGTTTGGGCAGACATCCTGGCCTTGTTCCTGATCTTGGGGTAAAACATTCAGCAAACCGCCACTCAGCAAGACTTCAGTTCCAGCCTCCTCACGTGCACCCTTTGTCAAACTGAGAAAAGTCTCTTCTATTCCAAAGCCTGCTACGAGTTTTGATGGTGAATGGATATTAAACTCTACCAATTGTTTTTCTGTATCTAGAGTTTATCATATGAATTTTTTCTACTTTATTCGGTCAATGTAGTGACTTACAGTGATATTTGAATGCTGGATCAATCTTACTCCTGGGATAAAATCAACTCAGTCCGAGTGTGTGCTACCCTTTTTATACGTTGCTAGATTCAATTTGCTAGTATTTTGTTAAAGGCATTTGCATCCTTGTTCATGAAAGCCACTGGCTTGCAATTTTCTTTTACTGTCATTAACAGGTTTTAGCATCAGAATTATTCCGGCTTCAAAAACAAGTTGAGAAATGTTTGTTCCCCTCCCTCTTTTTCTGGAAAAAGTTTGTTAAGATTGACATTAGTTATTCCTTAAATATTTTACAGACGTCATCTGTAAAAGGAGCTTTACTTCGTGAGATTTCTAAAATTACAAATCCAATTTCTTTATAGATTAAGGGGCTATTCGTTTTAGTTATTTCTTCTCATGTCAGTTTGGTATATGGTGTTTTTATTAAATTTGTCCATCTGTCAAATTTACTACCATAAAATTACTCATATATGTAAATAATACAACCTGCAGTCGTTTGCATCTTCCTTCTTTCATGTAACACGATATTTTCAAGGTTACAGTATATGTCAGTAATTCATCCCTTTTCATGAACAAATTAACTTCATGTATGGATATATATAGTGTTGAATCATTCATCAGTTGACAGGCATCTGGGCTGTTTCCATTTTTTGCCCATTATGAATAATGCCACCGTAAACATTTATGCATAAGTTTTTGTATAGACACTCAATCCCCTTGGAAATATTACTAGAAGAATTACTGTGTAAAACAGTTCATCTAAGCAGAATCACTTGAGGACATACCAGACTGGCTTCCAAAGAGGCTATACCACTTTACGTTCTCATCAGCAGCATATGATGCTTCTGATCAGTCTATACCTTCTCCAATATGTGTTACTGTCCATTTTTTTTTTTTTTTTTGAGTTGGAGTGTCACTCTGTTGCCCAGGCTGGAGTGCAGTGGCACACTCACACCACTGCAGCTTGACTGGCTGCGCTTAGACGCATTTTTTTTTATTACAATCAATCTTTTTTTTGGAGTCTCACTCTGTTGCCCAGGCTGGAGTGCAGTGGCACACACACACCACTGCAGCCTGACTGGCTGCACTTAGACGCATCTTTTTGTATTACAATCAATCTCTTTTTTGCAATTCCTTAATGATTGATTACACTGAGCATCTTTTCATGTACTGACTGGCCATTTATTTATCTTCTTTGGAGAAATGTCTGATCAAATCCTTTGACCAATTTTTAATTGGGTTATTTGTCTTTTTATTATCGAGTTCCTTCCATAATCTGCATAGTAGACCCTAATCAGATAGCAGATGATTTCAAATACTTCCTCCTATTCTGCAGCTACCCCACCATCTTGATTATTGTAGCTTAAAATTGAGGAGCCTAACCATTATTTCTTAAAACACACACACACACACACACACACACACACACACACACACACACACACACATATTTATATAAACTTCTTGAGTTGAATGTCTCACTCTGTCACCCAGGCTAGAGTGCAATGGCATGATCATAGTTCACTGCTGCCTTGACCTGCTAGGCTCAGGCAATCCTTCCACCTCAGCCACCCGAGTAGCTGGGATATGGGATTGTGCTACCATGCCTGGCTAAT